CGATGGAACTGAGGAACCTGTTACCTTGAAGCTTATGGTGATGAAAGGGAAAAAAAAGGTTGTCATTGCAGAGGCAGGGAAGGAGTTTGTGGATATTCTGTTTAGCTTCTTAACATTACCTTTAGGAACCATTGCAAGACTTGTGCGTGAGGAGTCCAAGGTGGAGCCACCTGAACTTGCATTGAGCAGCCTCTATCAAAGCGTAGAGAATCTTGACGATGGGTATCTTTGCACAGATACGTGTAGAGAAATGCTGATGCGTCCCAGAAACTCCATGGAAGCTTACTGTAGGAGATTGAAGCTAAACATTGACGACACAGAAACCACGGAGTATTTTGTTTGTAACAACTTGATCAGTTGTTCATACTCAAGCCCAGTTAAGTTAAGCACCTTCAAAAATAAACAATGCAGATGTGGACACATGCTGGCAAAACCGATTTCTGTTGAAACCTCTTGTGTCTTTGATGGCATTCTTAAGAGTAATTCCCGTTTTATGATCACGGACGATCTGAAAGTCATCCCAAACTCAATGGATAAAATCGTTAATGTGCTAAAGAACAGTGGAATAAAAAGCATGTCTTCAGTAAACGTAATGTCGGTAAAAATAACTAAAAATCAGGTTTGTTTAAGTCCGAAAGATGAATTTGCATTTCCTTTCAGTTTATTAGGATTGTTTACTTAGCAACTGATTTAAGGTTGTGATGATTATTCTTCGAAATCTCCTTTTTACAGGTAGTAGATATGTTGAAATGTTGTTTGTGCTCAAGGACAGTTTTGACAGATTTGTTCTTAGAAAAACTTCCCAGAGAGATATTACATAAAAGGAAAAGAATCGCTCCCTCTGATTTTGAAGCAAATGACAGTGGTAATAAAATCATAGTGAAGATAATGCAGAGAAAATCTAATAGGAAGATAGTGTTTGCTGAAGGAAAAGAAGATTTTGCAGACTTTCTGTTTAATTTGCTAACTATTCCCTTAGGAGGAGCGGTACATATGATGGAAGGGTGTTCTTGTGTTGGTAGTCTTGATGGATTATATAATAGTGTTGTTGATTTGGATGAAGATCATTTTACCACAAAGAAAGTGAAGAATAAGTTTGTTGATCCAGTACTTGCCCCACAGTTCAAATTGAATAGTTTGCTACCTTTAACGTGAGACTATGTCCCCAAATATTTTTGTTACGTTAAGCTTGACAATCAAAAACGACACGGACATGTTAGTAGAATCATTGAAGATTACTATTTAACTTCCGTGTTGAAGTCATACGACTCATTCTCGGAAAGGTGTGTTCCTGTAAAGTTTGTGGACCCCATATCTTATACAAATAACAATGGTAAAGGATATTTAAAAGGACCGACAACGTATATGGTAACAGATGATTTGGTCGTGACGCCGTCTTCCTCCATTTCTGTTATGTCTTTGGTGAGCAGTATGAGCATTCCCGTTGATGACTTGCAAGAGAAAGTGGTTAGCATTGGCACGGAGGAGGTAAGACCACTAAACTGAAAATTCATAGTGTTATTTCTACGTAAAATGCTTTTCATCTTTTCCATCGAAAGAGTAAAGATTGATCTGTTAAATGAATTTAAAAATATGGTAATGTATTTGTCAATGTAATTCTCAATTTTCAGCTTGTGTTAACTTTTGGCAGGCAGTGACAGTAATAAGTTTATGGTGTTGTTGCAGGGTGTGCGCATATTACAAGCGTCATTGAGCTCTACATCAGCCCTAACATTAGGTCTCAGCCACTTAACAAAAGTGAAAGAGGACAACTGAGTTATATTTACTTCTAGTCCTTCTATTTAATGTCTTTTTCTTCATTTTCGATAATTCTATATCTGCATTTAAAAATGTTCTGTTGTCGTACAAAGATTTTGCAGTTTTGCAGCAATTTCGCTGCTTTATTCTTTCATCTTTTTATTCTTTAATCTTTCCCAACATCGGAGAAGCTAGAAATTTGAAATCACGTTTCGTTGCTCTACAACTACATTTTAAAAGACCGATTGAGCCAAGTAAAAATGATTTTATTTTATGCGTAACCTAAACCGTTCAATATAAAAGGGTTAGACTTACATTTTCAAATATATTACGTACATTCTTTTACATGAAAATCCAACGTAAGTAAAGACGTAGTAACCACTTTTTCATTTTAGTTCACTTAAACCAAAATGTAGCTTAGATATTCATACTTTTAAAATTTAGTTTAGTTTATTTGTGATAAAACTCTCGTTAAACTTGGATGCATAATTGAAATAAAAAATAAAAAAGCTTATTTGCATAATAGAAATTTATTCAGAAATACACCTATCAATATAAAATTCTTTTATGTACTAAATTAAATATTTACTATTAAAATTTTAAATGAATTGACTCACAATATCATATCCAAATATACTCTTAACCATTAGGAGAGAGATGTCTTTTCTATAATTGAAAGTATTTTCTTAAAATCAAGAAATATATAATATAATAAAAAATTGTTAATATAATTAAAAACTGTTGTTAATAACCTAATCAATGATACAAAAGTACTTGTTAAAAATATTTTCTTAACGAAGAAGAGTGAATTGGTTCTATATTAAAAATTATTTTTTTCGAAATTTATGAAAATTTTTTAATTTTTTCTTGAAAAACAAGCAAATAAGATTGTAATGCAATAAAAAAGATAAGAGATAGAAAGACAAACACCAAAATTTTTATACTAGTTCGGCCTTAATGCCAACATGTAGCTCTCTTTCAATCAACTTAAGGGAATACTCTAGTTACTAAGAGATACATCAAGAAAGGTGCTTAAAAGATTTGACATGCAAGATTGTAAATTAAGGAATACTCTAGTTACTAAGGGAGACAAGTTTAGTCACAACCAATGCAAGATTCCCTATGCTTCAACTATAGGGAGTTTGGTGTATGCCTAAGCATGTATGTGTCCACATATAACATACATAGTTAGCATATTAGCAGATATTTAAACAATCCAAGAATGGATCATGGAAAAGAAACTAAAAAAGTTATGAAATATTTCAAGAGAACAAATGATTATATACTCAGATATAAAATATTAGTTGCCGAATGCCAACTGTACCACCATTTCAGATGCTACTAAATACTTACAAATTTTTCGTCAATATTCTAAATGTATGTATGTATCTTGCATCTAAAAATAAAATTTAAACATTCATTTATTTCATCAAATAAATGTTCCGTTAAATAACATATATTTCAAATAATAAGAAAACATTTAAAACTATTCAATAATTAAAAATAATTAAAAATTATTCAAAATACATCCAAAATAAAATAAAATGCATTCCGAAATCAATCTCCAAACTCTTAATTGTTTTACATCTCACTTAGTCATATCATTATCACAAGGTGACATGTTATGTACTTCTTTTATTTGAAAACTTGAGCAAAACCATGTCCTCAATAAAGTAGTAACAATTTGTACACACAAATTCTATATTATAGAACCATCTTCGTCTCCAGTAAGGATTAATATAGAGAATTGCTACAATTACCAGGACTGTCGATGTGCATGACACACCAAAACTTATCCAAAAAACAAATATGTCAATGAAACTGCAATTGCCGCCATCAGTGTGAGAATTATTTGGTGAAATAGCATGTGGTTGTATATAAGGATTGCAACTTCTTGGCAGTGGCGGTCCACAAAGAAAAGCATTACCTTCATAACTGCTTTCATCAAACGTAATAAACTGACCTTTCCGCTCTGGTGTTTCACCAGTTAAGTTGTTATGTGCTACACTAAATACGGCAACAAAAGACAATCTACTTATTTGAGGAGGAATTTTACCACTCAATTTGTTAAAAGAAAGATCCAAACTCTCTATTTGTACCAAATTGGAAAATGAAGCTGGAATTTGTCCAATTAAATCATTGTAGGACAAGTTCAATGCTTTGATTCTTGTCAAGTTTCCAAATTCAGATGGAATATTCCCAGTTAATTTGTTATTGGATAAATCAATGCCAGACATATAACCAAGGATATCCCCTTTGTAAGTGTAGGATGTTTTCTTTGTAGTAAAGTTCACCTTTTGTTTCACATTTGGATATGTACAAATAACAATGGTAACGGATATTTAAAGGACGCCAAACGTAATGGTAACAGATGATTTGGTCGTGACGCCGTCTTCCTCCATTTCGTAATGTCTTTGGTGAGCAGTATGAGCATTCCCGTTGATGACTTGCAAGAGAAAGTGGTTAGCATTGGCACGGAGGAGGTAAGACCACTAAACTGAAAATTCATAGTGTTATTTCTACGTAAAATGCTTTTCATCTTTTCCATAGAAAGAGTAAAGATTGATCTGGTTAAGATGAACTTCCATATGACTGGGATGCACGTGTATTTTCACATAATGCTACCTTTGTTACTTAAATTAGGTAGTAATCTGAATTGGTAAAAGTGATTCCTTGTAGGCTTGTGATTGGCTGCGTAAACTCTAGTTTATTTATCACACATTTTCCAAATATTTCCGGTAATCATTCAAGTGAAAAATAAGTTATATAGCAGGAATACAAGCAAATAGGTTAACCCTTTAAATTTTTACTTCCTCGGGTTGATGTAATAATTTTAAATTTGTGCCGATAAAAATTTTAACAATTCCAAAAATTTAAAATATATAGTATTTGAATTATTTATGATTAATTTTTCTTTATTTCTTGAATATATATTAAATTTTAATTTTCTTATTTGTATAAAGCAAATTAAGTTTTTTTAAGATAAAATTTTATTTTTAAAATATTTGGTTTAATGAACTGATTCATCTAAACCTTGACCATGGTTGACTTTGCTCATCTTTTGGCTCTTACTAAATCAACTTGGTCTTCAATAACAAAGATTTAACTAAGCCAATCCAAATTGAAATGTAATTTAAAGAAAAATATCGATTCGAGCAAAAGATCTAATTGAGTAAACTTTAATTAAAAATCGAAACTAATCAACCATAACTAATTGCTGACGTTAACGGATTCTAATTAGAGATTGAAACGAATAATCTTAATTGAAGATCGAAACTAATCAATTTTAACTAAAGGATGAGATAGTTAATCTTCGTCGAATATCGAGTTTGAATAAAAATAATTCACAATGAATTCAAATATTCGTTATAAAAATTATGGATAATTTCAATAGTTGAAATCGAAATAAAAATTTTCAATATGCATCTCGATTAAGAAAATTTGAATGGACAAATCTTTTCCAATCTGGAAAGTTGCTGTACAAATTCTGGACTCTGCATATTCTTCCACTCTCTTTGTAACTCTTCCATTCCCTTTCTACGGAATGATTCTCTACATTAATGAAACGTTTCATTGCACAATGTAAATTCATAAAATGGTAACGTCTTTTCAATGTTAGAAAGCGAAAAGGCGATGGATACAGTTCAAAGTGTCTTTACATCTTCAATATAAATAAATACCTGAATGCTTAGAAAGTCCCTTAAAAATAAAAGAGAGATACTTTGAAGCATTCTTCATAAAAAGGTTGTATCCTCTTAGATCATTAAAATTTGATCTTGAAGCTTATGGTGATGGAAGGGAAAAAAAAGGTTTACATTGCAGAGGCAGGGAAGGAGGTTGTGGATATTCTGTTTAGCTTCTTAACATTACCTTTAGGAACCATTGCAAGACTTTTGCGTGAGGAGTCCAAGGTGGAGCCACCTGAACTTGCATTGAGCAGCCTCTATTAAAGCGTAGAGAATCTTGACGATGGGTATCTTTGCACAGATACGTGTAGAGAAATGCTGCTGCGTCCCAGAAACTCCATGGAAGCTTACTGTAGGAGATTGAAGCTAAACATTGACGACACAGAACCCACGGAGTATTTTGTTTGTAACAACTTGATCAGTTGTTCGTACACAAGCCCAGTTAAGTTAAGCACCTTCAAAAATAAACAATGCAGATGTGGTCACATGCTGGCAAAACCGATTTCTGTTGAAACCTCTTGTGTCTTTGATGGCTTTGTTAAGAGTAATTCCAGTTTTATGATCACGGACGATCTGAAAGTCATCCCAAAGTCAATGGTTAAAATCCTTAATGTGCTAAAGAACAGTGGAATAAAAAGCATGTCTTCAGTAAACGTAATGTCGGTAAAGATAACTAAAAATCAGGTTTGTTTAAGTCCGAACGATGAATTTGCATTTCCTTTCAGTTTCTTAGGATTGTTTACTTAGCAACTGATTTAAGGTTGTGATGATTATTCTTCGAATTCTCCTTTTTACAGGTAGTAGATATGTTGAAATGTTGTTTGTGCTCAAGGACAGTTTTGACAGATTTGTTCTTAGAAAAACTTCCCAGAGAGATATTACATAAAAGGAAAAGAATCGCTCCCTCTGATTTTGAAGCAAATGACAGTGGTAATAAAATCATAGTGAAGATAATGCAGAGAAAATCTAATAGGAAGATAGTGTTTGCTGAAGGAAAAGAAGATTTTGCAGACTTTCTGTTTAATTTGCTAACTATTCCCTTAGGAGGAGCGGTACATATGATGGAAGGGTGTTCTTGTGTTGGTAGTCTTGATGGATTATATAATAGTGTTGTTGATTTGGATGAAGATCATTTTACCACAAAGAAAGTGAAGAATAAGTTTGTTGATCCTGTACTTGCCCCACAGTTCAAATTGAATAGTTTGCTACCTTTAACGTGCGACTATGTCCCCAAATATTTTTGTTACGTTAAGCTTGACAATCAAAAACGACACGGACATGTTAGTAGAATCATTGAAGATTACTATTTAACTTCCGTGTTGAAGTCATACGACTCATTCTCGGAAAGGTGTGTTCCTGTAAAGTTTGTGGACCCCATATCTTATACAAATAACAATGGTAAAGGATATTTAAAAGGACCGACAACGTATATGGTAACAGATGATTTGGTCGTGACGCCGTCTTCCTCCATTTCTGTTATGTCTTTGGTGAGCAGTATGAGCATTCCCGTTGATGACTTGCAAGAGAAAGTGGTTAGCATTGGCACGGAGGAGGTAAGACCACTAAACTGAAAATTCATAGTGTTATTTCTACGTAAAATGCTTTTCATCTTTTCCATCGAAAGAGTAAAGATTGATCTGTTAAATGAATTTAAAAATATGGTAATGTATTTGTCAATGTAATTCTCAATTTTCAGCTTGTGTTAACTTTTGGCAGGCAGTGACAGTAATAAGTTTATGGTGTTGTTGCAGGGTGTGCGCATATTACAAGCGTCATTGAGCTCTACATCAGCCCTAACATTAGGTCTCAGCCACTTAACAAAAGTGAAAGAGGACAACTGAGTTATATTTACTTCTAGTCCTTCTATTTATTGTCTTTTTCTTCATTTTCGGTAATTCTATATCTGCATTTTAAAATGTTCTGTTGTCGTACAAAGATTTTGCAGTTTTGCAGCAATTTCGCTGCTTTATTCTTTCATCTTTTTATTCTTTAATCTTTCCCAACATCGGAGAAGCTAGAAATTTGAAATCACGTTTCGTTGCTCTACAACTACATTTTAAAAGACCGATTGAGCCAAGTAAAAATGATTTTATTTTATGCGTAACCTAAACCGTTCAATATAAAAGGGTTAGACTTACATTTTCAAATATATTACGTACATTCTTTTACATGAAAATCCAACGTAAGTAAAGACGTAGTAACCACTTTTTCATTTTAGTTCACTTAAACCAAAATGTAGCTTAGATATTCATACTTTTAAAATTTAGTTTAGTTTATTTGTGATAAAACTCTCGTTAAACTTGGATGCATAATTGAAATAAAAAATAAAAAAGCTTATTTGCATAATAGAAATTTATTCAGAAATACACCTATCAATATAAAATTCTTTTATGTACTAAATTAAATATTTACTATTAAAATTTTAAATGAATTGACTCACAATATCATATCCAAATATACTCTTAACCATTAGGAGAGAGATGTCTTTTCTATAATTGAAAGTATTTTCTTAAAATCAAGAAATATATAATATAATAAAAAATTGTTAATATAATTAAAAACTGTTGTTAATAACCTAATCAATGATACAAAAGTACTTGTTAAAAATATTTTCTTAACGAAGAAGAGTGAATTGGTTCTATATTAAAAATTATTTTTTTCGAAATTTATGAAAATTTTTTAATTTTTTCTTGAAAAACAAGCAAATAAGATTGTAATGCAATAAAAAAGATAAGAGATAGAAAGACAAACACCAAAATTTTTATACTAGTTCGGCCTTAATGCCAACATGTAGCTCTCTTTCAATCAACTTAAGGGAATACTCTAGTTACTAAGAGATACATCAAGAAAGGTGCTTAAAAGATTTGACATGCAAGATTGTAAATTAAGGAATACTCTAGTTACTAAGGGAGACAAGTTTAGTCACAACCAATGCAAGATTCCCTATGCTTCAACTATAGGGAGTTTGGTGTATGCCTAAGCATGTATGTGTCCACATATAACATACATAGTTAGCATATTAGCAGATATTTAAACAATCCAAGAATGGATCATGGAAAAGAAACTAAAAAAGTTATGAAATATTTCAAGAGAACAAATGATTATATACTCAGATATAAAATATTAGTTGCCGAATGCCAACTGTACCACCATTTCAGATGCTACTAAATACTTACAAATTTTTCGTCAATATTCTAAATGTATGTATGTATCTTGCATCTAAAAATAAAATTTAAACATTCATTTATTTCATCAAATAAATGTTCCGTTAAATAACATATATTTCAAATAATAAGAAAACATTTAAAACTATTCAATAATTAAAAATAATTAAAAATTATTCAAAATACATCCAAAATAAAATAAAATGCATTCCGAAATCAATCTCCAAACTCTTAATTGTTTTACATCTCACTTAGTCATATCATTATCACAAGGTGACATGTTATGTACTTCTTTTATTTGAAAACTTGAGCAAAACCATGTCCTCAATAAAGTAGTAACAATTTGTACACACAAATTCTATATTATAGAACCATCTTCGTCTCCAGTAAGGATTAATATAGAGAATTGCTACAATTACCAGGACTGTCGATGTGCATGACACACCAAAACTTATCCAAAAAACAAATATGTCAATGAAACTGCAATTGCCGCCATCAGTGTGAGAATTATTTGGTGAAATAGCATGTGGTTGTATATAAGGATTGCAACTTCTTGGCAGTGGCGGTCCACAAAGAAAAGCATTACCTTCATAACTGCTTTCATCAAACGTAATAAACTGACCTTTCCGCTCTGGTGTTTCACCAGTTAAGTTGTTATGTGCTACACTAAATACGGCAACAAAAGACAATCTACTTATTTGAGGAGGAATTTTACCACTCAATTTGTTAAAAGAAAGATCCAAACTCTCTATTTGTACCAAATTGGAAAATGAAGCTGGAATTTGTCCAATTAAATCATTGTAGGACAAGTTCAATGCTTTGATTCTTGTCAAGTTTCCAAATTCAGATGGAATATTCCCAGTTAATTTGTTATTGGATAAATCAATGCCAGACATATAACCAAGGATATCCCCTTTGTAAGTGTAGGATGTTTTCTTTGTAGTAAAGTTCACCTTTTGTTTCACATTTGGATATGTATCCCCCCACCTAGAATAAAAATCACCAGTAAGACTTAATTCTTTAAAGTTCTCGTCCACAAAAGGCATTTTACCCAAGCAACTGGGTAACAAACCAGAAAGATTATTAGATGAAAGGTCTAGTATAAATAGTTCTTTCAATTGGCATACATGTTGTGGTATATGACCTGAAAAGTTATTCCCTTTCAATATGAGAATGTTCAATGATGAATTTTCAAGATCCAATATCATGTCTTGAATTTTACTGGTTATTCTATTGTAACTTAGGTCAAGAATCATCAATGAAGATCTGCTGAATGTCGATTTGGACAAGCCAGTAAACCTATTATTGCTCATGTGGACGAATTTCACGAAAGAATTAGCAAAAGACGGTAAAAAACCAGAGAAATTATTTCCTGAGATGTCAAGATATTCCAGAGCGTTCAGTTCCACAAATCTTGTTGAAATAGATCCTCCCAGATTATTGTTTGACAATGAAAGCTCGGTCAACCTCGAAAAATTTCCCATCACACTTGGTAAATTTCCCACTAAATGATTATTGCTTAGATCCATGGTCGCCAACGATGTGATAGAAAAACTATCTATACTTCCAGAAAGACTATTTCCGTCCAAATACAACTCTTCCAAATACTTCAAAGTCGATATGTTTTTCGGTATTTCTCGTGAAAAATTGTTGTCAGAAAGATCCAATGTATCCAAAAAGTGCATTTGGCTGAATTCACGAGGGATTGAACCTTGGATGTCATTTATAGACATGTTCAGAACTATCAAATTCGGAAAGATTGAACTGATGTTGCTGCCAAGTATTTGACCAGTTATGAAATTGTCAGACACATCAATCGTCGTTATCTTAAGAAGAGGACGTGATGGTACCTCAAAATTACCACTAAAAGAGCAATTTCTGACACTAATGACTTCCAATTGTGTGTTATTTTTCAACAGCCAGTTAGGAAATTCCCCATCCAACTTGCAACTGGTAAAATCCAGACTAGTTATGTTATATTGGTAAAGAAGAAACTTGGGGAAAGGAATAGAATTTGTGTCTGTTGTTGATGACAAACTAAGTACTTGTAATTGAAATTTCGGAATCCAATTTTGCAAAGGGGACAATGAGTCCATGATGACTTTGTTGCCATCACCATAAATGAACTTAAGATTTGAATGATTGGCAAATGGTGTAAAAGAAATAGGTACCTCAAATTGGTTTTCTTCGAAACCAAAATATTCAAGTGAAGTAAGACTTGCAAGGTTAGAAGCAAAATTTCCAATGAAGTAATTATAAGATAATTTCAGCGTTCGAAGAGATGTCATGTTTACAAAAGACGACGGAAGTAATCCTTCGAAGTGATTATAGGATAGATCTAACTCTTCCAGCTTATTCAGCTTAAACCAATCTGAGAATTCAAATTTTGAGAATAAAATTCATTATTTAGGGACACAATGAAAATATATAAATATTTTAACAAAGTGAGAAAAAAAAAAGTTGTATTGAGTAACTTAAAAGGTGATTTATTAAGAACGTTACCAACTGCAGGAAGTGTGCCATTTATGTAACATTCGAAAAGTGACAAAACTTTCAAAGAAGTCAAATCTCCAATACTTTGAAAGAAATCATTTTCCAGATTAGAACTTCCATCTAGTATCAAACTTCCTAGGTTTTTTAAATCATGAAAATCTGCAGAAAACAAAAAAATGATAAGCTTAATGTAACAGAAAGGAAATTAATTTACCAAGAAAAGTTAAGAAGTATTAGGTAGTACCTCGAGCCACAACTGCTCCTTTAAATTCATTCCAACACATAGAAAGCATCTTGATTGACGATAAAGTTCGTAGGGACTCCCTTAGTTTCTTCCCATCTATCACATTATCATCTAAAGTAAGGACCTCCAATGTGCTTGTACTTTGAAAGCCTGCAAGATGTAATGTAAATTAACTAAAAGTATGCAAATATATATGAACTTTGGCTAAGTAATCACATTTAGCAGCTTCAAAATGCAATGATTTTATCCTAAACATGTCTCTTTCACAGGTAAACCATTAATTAAACTTAATGTTCTTAAATACCTTCGTAGACCACAAAATTGTTGATTTGATTTAAACTTAGATCGAGATTCTTCAGACTGGTGAAAGTGGATAATCCTGCAAGAGATACATGTCAAAGTATAATAGTAATGGTACGTGTCAGTAAATATTTCTATAAACCTTCTTAATTGCTGATATTCATTATTTTAAAACGTATCATCTCTCTATAAACAACTTTTCTAGTGTTTTTTACCTTCTCCCTAAGAGTTCTAACTCCTAAGTCATCTCTTTGACTATCAAGAGGTACATAATCGACCACAGTAACGAGGTCTACATTTCTACACGATCAATGTCTCAATAGAGCAAGTAAGTTTCGGCTTCTTTTTCTCTTTTCGTTCTTAATGGAGATCGTGCTTAATGATCTCTTGTTGCATGTGAGTTGTAATGTCTTTTCCTAGTTTCCTGTTGATCAGAGGTTATAAGGACTCTCTCTAATCGTTGTTCGGTGTTTTATAAGCGTTTCTAGAGTTCCTTGAGCTCTAAGCAAGGGTTTGGTGTTTATAGAGTTATGTTGCTTCTGTGTAAGGTAAGAGAAGCTAGATGTTTTAGCATTAACTATAATTGTCTTGCAAGTTTAGTGGTTGTTTGATTATTAACTTGATTGCGTATTAATTTGAGTAATTATGATATGTTAGTTCAATTAGATGTGTATATTATTATATTGTATGATCTATGTATGATGAAGTTGGATTTCTTTGTCGTCTTGAATGATGTAATATGAAGTTGCTTCGATGTTGGAAATTTAATTCAAAGTGTTTGGAGGGAAGAAGGATCAAATACTTGGGTGGTGAAGTTAAAAAGGAAGGTTTTGATAGGTGAGTTTGAGAAATAGGTGTTAGGATGAAGAAACAACTATTTCAGGGCTGTTCGGATTAGAATTAGCTTATACGTGTGTTAGAATGGAGTAGTAGTCATTTTGGAGTATTTACAAAGTTTTTAAAGTGTAAATCAATTCCTAACATTGATTTATGAAAATCCAAATAGTTTTAAAGTGTAGAGCTCAAGTTTTTGCCAAAAATCTATTGAGTGTGCTTAGTATAATAGAGCCTAGGATTTTGTCAAGAATATTAAGTGTGTTTGATCTAGTAAAGTCTGGGATTTCTCCACTAAGTGTGTGTTTGGTCTAGTAGGGTCTAGGGTTATGCAAAAAATCTACCATGGAATGATATTTGATATGTATATGTAATTAATATGAATGTAGTTATTTCCGAGAAGAAAATACTACATTAAGTGGTTTTAGGATATTTATTTAATAAGGATTTTGAGAATGAGATTCTTTGGACTATACTAATATTATATTTACATAAAGAAAGATATTATGCGATGATAGTTGACTGAGGTTCCTATAGACTTAGATGTTTGAGTATGATATTTGTGATGTATGTTGTTTACACACATAAAAAATATTTTAAAAAACTCACTATCGTATCCTGTTTTGTAAATTATCATTTATGTGAGTTATGATCATGTGTTATATGGAATATATAATAATACAAGTGAGGATGCACAAGAGTGATATGGGATGAGGATGAATGAAATTAACGTAGATATTGTTGGGTACAAACAAAGTCCCACATCGAATAAAATAAGAGATGGACATGAGTTTATATACACATAAGATACCTCCATTGAAAGAGGCCTTTTGGAGTGGTACCAAAAGCAAATCTGTGAGGGCTTGGCCCAAAGCGGACAATATCTTACCAGTGTGGAGAGCTATGTGTGTGTTGTCCATCCCTACAAATGGTATCAGAGCCAAGTTCAGGTCTGGTGACCGGGCTTAGTCGAGTACGTCCCTCCATGATAAAGTGAAAGTGAAGCCTGACAGGTGGCCAGATGTTTCATGAGAGGTGGAGAGCAAGAGATGCTCAGTGTTGTGACCATGGATTGTGAAATAGGGCAAGGAGATGCTCACTGTTGACCATGGTGTACTCGAGGATGAGAAAAAAGACTTCCGCTGTAGGGGAGGTGGAGAGCCATACTCCTTTGTTTGAGGGGAGGATATTGGGTATAAACAAAATCCCACATCAGATAAAATAAGAGATGGACATGAGTTTATATACACATAAGATACCTCCATTGATAAGAGACCTTTTGGAGTGGTACCAAAAGTAAATCCGTGAGGCGTGGCCCAAAGTGTGGAGATATATGTGTATATCAAACCTTCTCAACAGTGGTATCAGAGCTTTATGCTCTGAGTACCGAGAGAGAAAGAAAAAAAAAGAGAGAGAGTAGAGTCAAACACCGCGAGAGAAAAAGTGAGTGCTTGATTTTTTTTGGAGAGAGATGACAAAGGTTGTCAATGGTATGAGTGTGCCACAATTGACGTGAAAAACCAATTATGATAATTGGTGCCTACAGATGAAGGCAAGGCGTTATTGAGATCCCAAGATGTTTGGGATATGGTGGAATACGGGTACGTTGAACCTGATGAGAATGAACATCAGACGGTGGCACAAATGACAGTGTTGAAGAAAACTCATGCAAGAGATGGGTGATGGGTGAGCATTGTATTTTATCTATAATGCAGTAGATGAGTCGGGATTCGAAAAAATAGTGAATGCCAAATCATCAAAGGAAGCGTGGGAGATATTGGATGTTACGTATAAAGTTGATAAACACGTTAGACAAGTCTGAATACAAGCTCTTAGAGAAGAGTTTGAACAGTTGAAGATGGAGTCAAAAGAGCATATAACCGAGTACATAACTCGAGTGAAGAAGGTGGCCAACCAACTCGGAAGGAGTGGAGAACAAATGCCATCAAGCTGGGTTGTGGGAAAATTTTTGAGATCCCTTACAAAAGATTTCGAAAGTATCGTGTGTGTCATCGAAGAATCTAAAGACTTGTCAGTTCTCACAGTGGATGAACTTGTAGGGTCATTAGAAGCCCACGAACAAAGGAGAAGAAGTTGGGATGATAATGTTGAACCCGATGATCAAGCACTACAGTTAGAGTTTGACTCAAATAAAACTCGGATTACTCAGAGCCGAGGTCCTGGCGACAAAGGGCGAGGAGGTCGAGGACGAGGTGGACGTGGCCAAGGTAATTTTGAGAATGATAGTGAAGAGCAAACCAATCAACAAAATTGGCGTGACCGAGGACAAGGGAAAGGCCGAGGAGATCTGTCAGGAGTTGAGTGTTTTAAGTGTGGCAAGTATGGCCACTATGCAAATGAGTGTAGATCAATCAAGTGCTACAACTGTGGCAATGCTGGCCATATTGCAAAGTATTGCAAGACTGACACAAATGGGGAGACTAATCTCCTTACTGAAGATGTAGAAGAACTGTTGCTGGTAAAGAGCTTGGATGTAGTGGACATGGAAAATTCGGTCTCAATAATGGATGAATTGATCTCGGTAAAAGGTGCGACAGA